TCAATCTCTCCGATGGTTTACCGTAATCTAATCAGAGGAAGACGGAATGAAAGGTTATTACGTTTCACAAAGATATTGCGTTTTTGCAATTGCACTTTACACGCCGGACGTTAACTTGGACCGTTGCGTCGCGTAAAAAACCGCCGCCGGATGAAATTGACGTTCCCCGAGTAACGGAGCCGCCGTCCGTCTCGTAATTATAATCATTTGCATCGCCATGGTTGGTGCATTTCGTCCTCTCGAACTCGGCGAGAAAATTGAGGAGAAATTTAACAGGGAAGCTGAGCAATGATTTGCCGCGCTTCTGCCTTTCTTTCTTTTTTCTTCTTTTTTTTTCGATGGTTTGGAAGTTAAATTGATCGACAATACGTAACTACCATGTCATCGAACGGTGCATGGTTATATAATCTTTGCATTACGTGCCACGTATAATTACCGAACTAAAGGATCTAGAGTCAACGTCCGAATTTGACGTGCATAATTGTAAAATCGAGCGACTTGGCTTTTCGATGGTAATGTAAGGTGCCTGTATCCTTTGAAAACAATTACGTAATTTGTGATTGATTAATTTCGTTTCCCTTCGAATCAGATTTCGCGTGAAATAGTGATCTTGGAAAATATTATGCGAGATATTACATTCTATCTAATCGTCAGAGACTATTTATAAAAGAGCGATATTCGCTTTAATCGGAACTTAGATCTTCAAATTTTTTGTTTTGATGGTGGATAAACAAGATTAGAAGTTGATTGATAATTTGAAGTTATTTATGAATTATCATGTATTGAAATAACATATATGTGTGTGTGAATAAAAATTATTATTAATTTTTCACGATGTAACGTGAGCTTGTATTAGTTTCACATCATTCGCGGGATAGGGACGATCCTGGAATGTTTCTGGATAATAAAAATCACGCGACAAGCGAACAACTGATCTGATACATGACTCTCGTCGATGCTTCTTGGAAAAATATTTGTAATGTAATTCAAACGCAAGAATCAGGTTGTTCATCTTCGTAAACGTATAATGCCGTAATGTTCCTTCCTGTAATTGTTCCTTCCCCTACGGCCGTCGATCGTAGCCTTAGTATTAATCCGTAATCAAAAAGACTTGTTACGTCCGTCACAAGTAAAGTTCTTCTTTAAATTCTGATAGATGTTAAGAATACTGAGACGAAAGATCTCGGTTAGTAAAACTTGTCTTACAATAATTCTGACATGTTCGTTTAGTGCAAAGAAAAAAAAAAAAAAAAGGAAAAAAGAAAAAATCTGACAGTGATCGAAGTTCACCCGAAGTCGATCCGCACTGTTGAATCGAGAGCCGCCAATTAATTCTAATGCCTTACACTTTATTACGGCGTATTACGATGTAACACCGAGATAATTACATTCGCCGACCTTACTGCCAATTAGTAGAGAGTCGCGTACAGTTTCGATCGTTGTCTTCTTTCGTTAAATCGCGTCGTGATAAATTAATCGATCGCATAAAGTGCAAAACCAACCACCCAATTAGCCGCGGTTCAGGCTGCAACATTTTTTTCACAAGGTGAACGACGGTTGTAGTTTTAGCTGTTGAGAGAACCGGACTTTGTAAATCTTGCGCGATTCGATGTTGCTAATTGCGCTGCAATTCGGTATCGATCCAGTGGAGAGGACCGCCGCGAGAACCGATCTCTCTACCGACTAATTGCATACCCCTCGCGCGCCACCGTCGACAAATTGCAAAAATAACCTCTTCCTTTTCTTTCTCCTCCCTTTCTCCTTTTTATTTATTTCCTTTCTCTTCATTCTTTTTCGAACCGTACTTACAAATGGTCGCCACTCGCACCGGATGTCTCGCAACCGTTCATTTCGCAATCGTTCGCAACGACCAGCGAATATGGAGAAGAGAAAAATAAGGGGGGGAGGCAGCTGTTTCAATTTTAAAAGGGCAAATACAAATTGCTGCTGTGTATAATCTCGCGGGGCAACTTGGGCGGAGTTCTTACAATGTTGCTTTTTTACCGATGCACCGAATTGCTCCGTGAATGTATACGTTCTCTGTACGTGTTGCTGATGTTACGAGATAGCGAAACGAATTTTTGTTTGAATTGCTAATCGACGATGTCTTATCGCCTGCCCTTGTCAAATAATTTAATTATCACCTGGAAATATTAACTCTGGCCTCTCTTCTCACGACTGTTCATTTTCGAATGCTACATTTTTTTTTAATGGCGCAGCATTCTGTTCGTCGAGGTGTTCAACTTGTAACTTCAATTTATCTCGTCGAGATAAGCAAATCAACAAGGATGGACATTCTTCAGGTTTCCTTTAAACCGTGCTCAACGTTCAATTTTTCATGTTCATTCTTCCATTTAATATCGAAACTATCAATTATCGAACATCGGGTTTGAATAACTTTTTCGCTTTTCTTCCCCGATTTAATCGACAAGCGGACGAAAATAAACGTAATTACGCGTAATCGCACACACAACACTTCCTATCGGATTAGAGAGTGATTGCCCATTACGTTTATCCGCGTTACGTTTACCCATTAAACACGGGTGGTCGTCGCGGCTTGGCGATCGTAGCGTTAAAAGGTGCATTCACGCGTGCATCCAAGAAATAGAGAAGTAGGGAACCGCGGTGGAGGAAGGGTGTAGATCGCCGGCGAACTCAACAAGTGATTCGCCGTAACTATAAATAAACGGCGGTGGGACGGGTCGGCTGGCTCGTAAATCCTGAAATCGGGGCATAATCGGCGTGCAATCTGGAATCTGGCGCGGATCGAGTCGCTGCTCCGTGGGCCGGCGATCCACCGGCGAGCGCGCGTCCATTCTCGATCACGCGTCACGCTTTATCATCCACTTGCGCTTACCGTCGACGGTAAGGCGGGATCCGACCGTTCGCGATCGGTAATCCAGGATCCTGTCATAAATCAGCCGCCTGGCCGGTATCGGGTCTCGCGCAGGAGAAATTATTCCTCTGGAATTACTACTCCCTAGTATTATTACCTTGGCTGCGTTGACCTCTGAGACAGCAATTTCACCGAGCATGCGATCGCACGCTGGTCGTAAACATTGTTCGCCGACGAGTTTATAAAAGAGAAAAAAAAAAAAAAAAAAAAAA